TGATGGCAAAACAAGAATATTTATATAAAATGAAGAATGTACTTTATACAAATGATCAGACAAAAACCTTAATCAGAACTATTTACTGCACAACAGAAACACTAAAACAATATAAACACTAAAAATCTACTAGTAGAGTCATATATAGCATAAAGTAGTAGAGGGCACTGTAACAAAGCATTTATTGAAGCAGTTCTATTAAAGCTGGCAAACAGAAATAATTATTAAGTAGAGATCTGATGTAACTCACCCAGACCAACGCTCGTGGGGAGATCTCTTTCTCTCAGCCTCGAGGACTGACCTTGGAGGGCGTCCCCAGCCAGGGGAGAAATCTCCACACACTCCCCAGGGAGGGTTTTGTCAGAAAGAACCCGACTGCATGACAGGGGAGTGGACTTTTTACAAGATAAAGTGATTGCCAATTCCGCCTTTCCAGGTCAGCTCTCAGCTTATCTGTCAACTCAGACTTCAACCAGCAGGGTGTGTGTTCAACCTTGGACCAACCAGGATGGTTTCAGCAGAGTTAACACCGAGACAACACCCTGGCTCCAGCAGCTGATCTTGCGTGACAGCTTGATGATGAGCTTGATTGGACCTTGGGTCTGGCCAGGCTGGGACTATCCTGCCACAGTCCATCAGCCAGGGGTCTTCCCAGCGTGGGTCACTGGGAATGTGGGTCACCAAGCCTGTTCCCAAAGTGGATCCTCTGACAGCTGATGGAGTTGGAGCAGCAGATGAAGCTCTTCCACAGTCAGGGCACTTGCAGAGCTTCCCTTACTGGTGGGTCTGTTGGTGTCTGGTCAAGGTAGAGCTCCAGGTGAAGCTCTTCCCACACTCCTTGCACTTGTAGGGCCTCTCCCCAGTGTGGATGCGCCGGTGGGTGACGAGGGTGGAGTTCTGGTTGAAGCCCTTCCCGCAGTCGGTGCAGCGGAAGGGCCTCTCATCCGTGTGCGTCTGCTGGTGCTTGAGGAGATCCGAGCTGCTCCGAGACCTCTTCCCACACTCCCCACACTTGTAGGGCCTCTCCCCAGTGTGGCTGCGCTGGTGGGTGATGAGGTTGGAGTTTTGTTTGAAGCCCTTCCCACAGTCGGTGCAGCGGAAGGGCCTCTCATCCGTGTGCGTCTGCTGGTGCTTGAGGAGACCCGAGCTGCTCCGAAACCTCTTCCCACACTCGAGACATTGGTAGGGCCGTTCCCCAGTGTGGGTCTTCTGGTGCTGGGTCAGGTTGGATTTGATGTTGAAGCTCTTCCCACATTCCAAGCACTTGTAGGGCTTCTCCCCCGTGTGCACGCGCTGGTGGGTGACGAGTTGAGATTTGTATGTGAAGCTTTTCTTGCATTCCCCACACACGTAGGGTTTCTCCCCTGTGTGCACGCGCTGGTGGGTGACGAGTTCAGAATTGTATGTGAAGCTTTTCTTGCATTCCCCACATTTGTAGGGCCGGGGCCTCCGTTCCCCAGTGTGGATCTGCTGGTGGCAGATCAGGCGAGAGCTGACGGCGAAGCCCTTCCCGCATTCCAAACACTTGTAGGGCCGTTCCCCCGTGTGCACCCGGCGGTGGGTGAGGAGGTGGGAGCTATAAAGGAAGGTCTTCCCACATTCCTCACACTCGTGGGGCCGTTCCCCAGTGTGGACACGCTGGTGGGCGAGGAGCTTGGAGCTGCTGTTGAAGCTCTTCCCACAACTGGGGCACTTGTAGGGCTTCTCCACGGCACTGACGCGCTCCTGCACCACCAGCTCGGAGCTCCGGCTCAAGCTCCGGCCGCCTTCCCGGCACAGGCTGCCTCTTTCCTCCTCAGAGCACCCTGGGCTGGCTTTGGAGCCCCTCCTCCGGGGGGATCTCCGGGGCTTTTCCTCCCCGCTGCCTTCCCGCACCGTGGAGCCGTTCAAAACGGCCTCTCCCACCAGGGTCTGCCGGGGGGATTTGTCCTCCGTGCTCTCCGTCCTCAGCTCGGGGCCTGGGGCAGGAAGGAAGGACATGGAGGGGATTTGCCTCCGGCCCAGAGGGAAGGGGGAGGAGAAGGAAGATGGAGAGGAAGGAAGGTAGAGAAGGAAGGAGAGGAAGGAGAAAACATAAGGAGGAAGGAGAGGGAGGAACAAGGAGAAGGAAGAAGGAAGGAAAAGGAACAAGGAGTGGAAGGAAGAAGGACAGGGAGAGGATTTGCCTCTGGCCCAGAGGGAAGGGGGAGGAGAAGGAAGATGGAGAGGAAGGAGGGTAGAGAAGGAAGGAGCAGAAGGAATATGAAGGGAAAGAACAAGAAGAAAAAGCAACAAGGAGAGGAAGGAAGAAAAAGAAGAAAGGAAGAAGAAGGAAGGAAGAAAGAAGAAGGAAGGAAGGAAGAAGAAGGAAGGAAGGAGAAGGAAGGAAGAAGAAGGCCCAGAACTGGACACAGCACTCCAGGTGTGGCCTCACCAGTGCCAAGTACAGGGGAAGAACCACTGCCCTGGTCCTGCTGGCCATGCTGGTCCTGAGAGAAGGAAGGAGCAAGGAGACAAGGAATGACGAAAAGGAAGGAGAAGACGGAACACAGAGAAAAAGGAGAAAGGAGAGAAAGGAAGGAGAATGAAGAAGGAGAGAAAGGAAAAAACGTAAGGAGGAAGGAGAGGGAGGAACAAGGAGAAGGAAGAAGGAAGGAAAAGGAACAAGGAGAGGAAGGAAGAAGGACAGGGAGGGGATTTGCCTCCGGCCCAGAGGGAAGGCCAAGGACATCCCCCCAAATCCGGCCCCGGCAGGACGGCGGCGGCAGCGGGGTTGTCCTGCAGCCGGGGGCGATGCTCGGCTGGGAGATACAGGACAAGACAGGGCAAAGGGGCACTGACTTCCTCCTCACCTGCCCAGGGGGCCCGCAGCATCTTCCTCTTCCTCACAGCCTCCTTCATCTGGCCAAGCTTTGGGAAGAAGAAATCCTGCTGTGGGGGGAAAAACAAGGGGGGAGCGCGTTGGGTTGGGGGCTCCTCCTGCCCAAGTCCATCTCTAGAAGTCACCAAGCACCTTGTGTCCATAAAAACCTCCTAAACACCAAGGTTCAGCCCAAAAAACCCCCCCAGAACTCCAAGATTCAGATCAAAAAAAACCCTTCCAGGAATTCCCCCTATCAAGTCTCTCCACTTTGGCGTTCTGGGGGTCCCCTCTCTTTGGGCTGTTGGGGGTCCCACGTGTATTAGGGTTCCCCCTCTTCAGGGTTCAACCCTCTCTGGGGTGCTGGGGCTCTCAGGGGTCCCACCTCTATGGGGTCTCCCCCTCTCCACGCTGCTGTGGGTCCCAGAAATCCCGGGGGTCCCCCTTCTCTGAGCTCCCCTCTCTCTGGGGTCCCCCTGGCTGGGCTGACGGGGGTCCCAGCACTCCCCCTTCTCCGAGCTCCCCACTTCAGTGTCCCAGGGCTCCCAAGGGTACCCCCTCTCCAGGCCCCCAGTTCAGGGTTCCTGCACTCCCAACCCTCCCCTCTCTGCAGGTTCCCCCCCTCCTTCCAGGCTGACGGGGGTCCCGCGGTGCCGGGATCGCCCCTCTCCGCTCTCCCCACTCCGGGGGTCTCAGCAGCCCCCACCGCCTCTTCCTCCTCCTCTTCCTGCTCCTCCAGGCCTGGGGCCCCCCTGCCTGGCCAGTCCCAGTTTTCCAGACCCCACACCCCTCTTCCTTTGACTCCAGGACCCCCATGCCCCCACTTTCCTCACCATCCCACCTCTCCCAGTCCCTCCATCCCCCTGTTTCCTTCACCCTGGGGACCCCTGGACCCCCGTTCCTGGCCATCCCACCTCACCCCCAGATCCCCTTTTTCCTTGACTCCGGGACCCCCCTGGAGCCCCTTCCCAGTTCTCACAGCTCTCCCCGTTTCTCCCTTTCCTTGACCCTGGGACCACCCTGACCCCCAAATCTCACTGTCTCCCCATTTCCCCACTCCTGCCTTATCCTGCAGGGTGGTCCCGGAGTGGCCCAGGGACCCCCTGAATGCCCCATTCCTAAAGACCAGATCCGCCTGCACCCCCTTATCCAGACCACCACCCCCTGCACCCACTTCACCAACTCCAGGGCCCCCTGCAACCCCTTTCCAGCCATCCCACCTCTCCAAGTCCCCACACCCTCCCTTCTCCTTCACCCTGCCACCCCCTCCACCCCCACTCCTGCCTTTCCCACTCCCCAACCCCTCCTTTCCTCAACACCCGGCACCCCCTGAACTGCCCTTCCTGCACATCCCGGCTCTCCCCACCCACTCAACCCCCTTTCCCTCACACTCCAGGCCCCTGCACCCTCCTTTCCTGGACACAAGGACCCCAGAGACCCCCTGGGCCTCCTCTCCCACTCTCTACATCCCCCCTTTTGCCTTTACTCTGGGACACCCCGAAACCCCCATTCCTGCCCACAGGAACCCCCTGGCACCCCCTTATTCTGCACTAAGACCCCCCTGCAACCTCCTTTCC